GTATTTTCATTCACAGTTCTAAACAAGCTACATCTGTTATATTTTAAGGTTTAAGCTTAAACAGACTTTATTTAGTGAACAGTTGATTGTTCAATGACAGATTGTAAAAGTTCAGATGAATTTTATAATTGTTTTATAGGTTGAACTTCATTCCCAAGAAAAATGTTTGTAATAGTAACAATAAACAATTCAGCAAATGAGCATGTCACATGGCATAACTGACGTTGTAAAGTTGGTACAAATATCACAGAATGATCATATGTTAAACAATAAGTTTTAAACAGTACCCAAAATGAGAATAAATCATTTAACTGACAATATTCTCTCATTTTGTTTAAAATTTATTCTTATTTTTCAAAAACAAAGGTGATTTTGTATGAGATGCCATTCTCAAAGTAAGGTTGTATGTTGGCATATTCTTCCAGTTGTTATTAACTTAAAACGTTGTTCAGCTCAGGCAATGTCCATGGTGGAGAAATGAGAGTAAAAATACCAGTTAATTCCCCAACTCACTACAACATCATTGCCACTAAGTCATACAAAGTTTTATTTCCAAATCACCATTCACCATACAGTAATGGAAATCCAAAACTATAGTTCCTACTTATAGTGTTGATGAGTTTCATTGTGCCACCATACAGAGTAGGATTTCCAAATATAACTCATCATAAGCTAATTTACCAAGTTCAAAATTTTATATTTGATAATGGAAATCCAAACTAGTCCTGATTCACGGTGTTGATGAGCTCATTCATGCCACCATTCTTATCTAATTTCAGTAAAAACTATTTCATACTGGCCCAATTTTTTAACCATACACAGTCAGAATTCCAAGTTTTTTTAGTCATACTGTTGGAAATCCAACCTCATCAACCGGTATGTGGCGAGATAAACTAGGCCATATTTTATTTAGTAGCCATAACTGCCTGGATTTCCAGGAATTTTTTTTCCATACTCGTCTGGATTTGTAGATTCTGTTTCTCCATATACAGTTGGAATTCCGGGATATTTCCCCATCATACAGTGCTGGAAATCCGACCTCATCAACAGGGGGGTGCAGATATAAACCGGAATGGCCCAATGTCAGGAAAGTGTTGATTGTCACACGATTCAAATCATGAGAATTAAGTTGCTTATTGGACAAATGTATTTTGCTAATCACAATTCATCATTACAAAGTCTGAATTGATTGATGGTTTGAATACCGACTTACTTAATTGTACGTCCAGAGTCAACTTTAATCCACTGTGTTAAGCTTGCACTGGGGTTAGCCTCAAATAAACAGGTAAGTGATGCAGTTTCACCGGGCCATGCTAATACAACTTCCTTTACAACAGTTACTTCTGGTTTATCTGAAATGCAAGAAAACAAGATTACTTGCAAGGATTATTTTTGATTCATGTGTTAATTTTTGATATCACATTTGATAAAGCTATGAATACTATAGCTATCAGTGCAGGTGTGCATTT